TGAAGCCGGCGATTCAGAGCAGTTTTTTATCAAGCTGTTTACGCCACCGATACGTGATTTGAGTCAAACTGACGATCCCATTTAGCTTCAAGTAATTCATTTTTAAAAATCCGCCAGTTTTGTCGGAAAATTTAGTTTCAGTCGATACCTCCTATTTTTGCTTTGAAATTTTGGTGATTTTACTTACTTTAGAATTTCATTAGATCGGTTGTACTGATTTACATTAGATAATTTAATTTTCTATCGAACTGTTCTCCTTTGTGCAATTTATAAATGTACTATTTACTTTTTCCAAGTTAAGCGAAGTGTTGTTTTTGTCGTACTTCATTACTTTTTTAAATTTTAATCGGTCCTGTCTGACCTCAATTTACTTTTAGTGGACTCTTTCAAAGTGAGCCAGTCCAGCGTTATTATATTTAGTTAAAAATAACACAGGTTTTAAATTGAATTCTATTCTTGGCTTTCTTATTGTTCCGACTTTCGATACGAAAGTAACGGAATATTTGTGCTCGGGGTGGGTTTTTTTTTTCTTCAGACAAATTTCGACTTTTTAACTAGCCATTTTTGACGGAATTTTTTATATCATTCGAAAGGTATTGTTGTCATGAGCTCAAATTTGAAAAGATATTTCACCTGTGATCATTTTTCGTAAAGTTATAGGGGTTTAAAGATTGCCATTTTGGCCAATTTGGGACAATTAATGCGCGATATATTTAGCGCTATTAACGAGTAAGCGGAGATTTAATCCGTCTTATAAATCGTTCCAAATTGGTTGAACGAAGCTTATTTGCCATAATTGATTTGTTACTAGGAGCGAAATCTATTCTTTTGTACTTTATATGGATGGCGTGTGGGGGGATGATTTTCATAAAAAATTTCAAATTTAAACAACACTGCTCGTATCAGGGTCCGGAATGTTCCGACTGCTTTTTAAGGTTTTTGGAGCAGTAATAACATTAAAAAATTAAATGTAATAGAACAAAATGAAATTTTTTTTTTCTAAAATTTGAAATTTTTTATGAAAATCATCCCCCCACACGCCATATAAAGTACCAAAATATAGATTTCGCTCCTTGTAACAAACCAATTATGGCAAATAAGCTTCTTTCAACCAATTTGGAACGATTTCTAAGACGGATTAACTCTCCGCTTACGCGTTAATGGCGCTAAATATGTCGCGCGTTAACTGTCCCAAATTGGCCAAAATGGCAATCTTTAAACCCCTATAACTTTACGAAAAATGATCACAGGTAAAATATCTTATCAAATTTGAGCTCATGACAACAATACCTTTCGAATGATATAAAAAAAATTCCGTCAAAAATGGCTAGTTAAAAAGTCGAAATTTGTCTGAAGAAAAAAAAACCCACCCCGAGCACAAATATTCCGTTACTTTCGTATCGAAAGTCGGAACAATAAGAAAGCCAGAAATAGAATTCAATTTAAAACCTGTGTTATTTTTTTTATTTTAATTCATTATTTTATAAAATTTTCGTTTTATTTTATTTCATTTAATTTTTTAATGTTATTACTGCTGCTCCATAAACCTTAAAAGGCAGTCGGAACATTCAGGGCTTCGCCCTGATACGAGCTGTCTTGTTCATTTTAAGCCTAGTTTAGTTAGAACAAAGCTCCTATTCCTTGCACAAAAATAGCCTATTTAAATGATTTAAAATGTAACACTTGGACATAACGCGACAATTTCAAATAAAAAACAACTCACACAAACTTGTTGCGAGTTGCCGTGCCATGCTAATTATGAACATGCTATTTGGTTTCCATTGAGAACAGTATCAAGATTATTTTAAACTCAAGTCATTAACCTCCGCGTCTGCGTTAGACAAGCGGCTGTTGAACATTAAAAATTACTAACCCAAACACGGGTCCCAAGTCAGAGGCGCCAACCCTCCCGCTGCTCTAAGTCGGTTATGATTGCAGATGGCACCCTGGGAAAAATCATCAGTCTCGGCCAGGGCTCCTGATGATGTCTCTTCTCTAGAGTAGACTATGGCGGGAACATCCATATCCCACCCGTAGTACTGGAAAGTGTTCGGGTCGTTGTTGCATGAGACCCAGTTATTGGGAAAATCAGCATGACTGAAAAACAGGTAACGACATAAATTGATAATTAATATCTTTGTACAGATTTTTTTAAAGTAACTTGTGTATCAGAGAATTTAAGTACGTACTTTTGAAAGAAAGCAATAAAAACCAGCGGTTTTATCACAAAAATAAGCAAAAAATTGGATGGTCAAACCTAATTTAAACCAATCGGAGATAGTGGAAAAGAGCTGAGTCTTTAAAATATTTTAACATGAAAAAGAGCTTACCCCCCAGAGATTTGACTCCCTGACGACACAAAAGGTGCCCCTTTGGTACTATTTTGAAACGTTCATTTTTGTCTCACCGACTTTAATTTTTTTTTTTTGAAAAAGCGCCTTTGGCGTCAATACATACTAATGTTGAAAGGGGGGGGGGGGCGCCGAAAAAGCGCAATTTGTTGGTCAACATTTCGCAAAAACTCTGTCATCCAAATTTCCTTATGAACAATTTTATATTGCAATTTTACTAGGGGGATGTGGAAATTGGGAAAGGAGCTGATATTGAGTGTTAAATACATTTATATACATACCTGCATGAGGGACAGAGCGTTGGGTTTTCCTGATCCGAGCATCTCTGCGAACATCCAGCATAAGGGCCATAGCATGAGTCACCGCTTTTGATGCACTTCTTCCATGCACCATTGCAGTAACGACCACTCTCGCAGTCAGAATCTTTCATGCACTGCTCACACTTGCCTTTGGATCCAGGCGCCACACATGCATTGGTGGGTTCTGGAAAACAGTCAGGACATTAGCCAAAAACATCAGCCTGAACCCACATGGATTCTCTCCCACTTAAATTTATTGTAATGATGGCCGAAAGATGACCCGTCATTTTAGATGAGCTGACTGATGATTTTCGCGCAAAGCACTTGCAGTTCTGATATTGGATACCAGCTTAACAGAATGTCTTGGGATTAACCATTTTTATGAAAACCGAACTTGAAAACACCGATTGATTGATGTCTGCTAAAAACTAATTCAAGATAGTATGGATCAAGTGTCAGCATGTACTTTGTTACTGATAAGGATGTTTCGTAGCAATCATCAATAAAATTAATACCCCAATTTAACGTCCTAATTTGGTGTATCGAGAATTGACTTTCGAGTTTTGACCTATTTTCACAGATGCAAATTGATTTTATTGACCTTTTCGGCTAGGCTACCTCTCTATCGAACCCTTTTTTTGTTAAAAGCTAAATTAGGGAGTGAAAAGAAAAACAAATCAGGGAAAAAGAAGTTGTTCGGGGAAAAATTTAATGATTACCTGGCGGTGTGTAAGCTTTTTTCCATTCCTGACAAATGGCATTATTATTGTCATACACAGCTGCTACACTTGCTAGTGTAACTGCGAGTAGAAAGAAAAACATCTCTCCCTATTCTTTGAAACGATACTTGTTAACACTTTTTTATCAACAATTTTTTTAGAGGGAACCAAAATTTTACTAAAAAGGAGAGGCGGTTGTGTTATTTATAATGTATATCCTGCTGTTTTTTGAAAGAAGCACCTCTTCATAACTGTCAAAAACTTTTGACTATGGCACTTGACACTAACTATGATATGAGAAATACATCAATTTAAAAAAAAAGTGTTTCAACCGGTGCTAAAGGGCCCTTTTTGTCAATTTTACTGCCGAACATTCTTTGATGTCAAAATTAAATTGAGTCCTTAGTAAGTTTCCAGTATGGCCTGGTTTCAAGATCTGGAAAAAAATTTCGAAAGTCAAAACTAAATTAAAAAAACATCACATTCGACGATTATATTTTGTGCCATGCCATACATATTCTGGAGCATCGTAAAGTGGGTTGTCGCTCGCGCTTTTTAAATTTACAATAAAAATGATAAACAGAGCAAAAACTTGTCTATCAGATAGAGATTCGAACAAATCTTGAATAATAGAACCCAAAACGCGATCGTGCATGAAACGAAATAAATAATTGACAAAACATCCCAGCTATTCTATAGCTCATGTAGTTGAAGAAATGCGAAATTTAGCAGAATGAACCAATTATACGATTTAGGTGACCGAAAATGGAGACGATATCTCTTTGGGACTGTTAAATATGACACTAATTAGCACCCCGGGTTGACCTCCATACACCGAAAATGCTTATCATACAATTCCATACAACAAAAATCATTATCATACAATTCCATACATGTGTATGGAGAAAATGTTAACCATACAGTTTCCATATATGGAAATTGTATGACTGGCATTTTTTTGATGGCGACAATATTGACTCGATAATATTGGCTTGTAATTTAGACGACGCAGTATTTTTCGAAACCTTTGCCTAAATCATGTCCTCGCAATCATAATGCGCCGCTTTGATTTCCTGGAACACTTAAATTAGTTATATTTGAAAGGGTTGAATGCCAATAAATCTCTGCCGTCGTACAGACCACCGTTTCGAGATCGCTAGAAAAGTTTGGTATTTTCTGGTCATCGGGACAAAAACTTGGTACTTTCAGACCGTGAAAACTGAATCATGCAGTTGAAGAAAGCTTGTTTGACCCTCGGAACTCAGACAAAGGGCGAAATACTCTTTGGACCATGGAGACGAAAAAACCCAAACAGACTGTGGGGGCCGAAAACCAGTCTTGATTGTGGTTGCATAAGTCAGCATGTTCAGACTGAGGAGGCTCCACGGTATGGTATAATTTTTTAAATGTGTTGTTTATAAAATGGAACAAGTATAACTGAAAGTTTTCGAGTTTTTTCAAAACTTAGTTCAGAAATTCGTGTTTATGCTGAAACTTTGCATAGAACATAGTTTATAAATTGAGTAGATCTATGTTTAGAGTTTATTTGGGATTTAGAAATTAAGTAAATCTACGTTTAGAGTCTATTTGGGATTTAGAAATTGAGTAAATCTATGTTTAGAGTTTATTTGGGACTATTACCAGCTACGATTGCGGAAACAGTGACAAAAAGAGACCATAGAACAGTTTCGGTTGTTCTTGGAGGGCTAACGACAAAACCCGGGAACTTTGCATCAGCGGTACAAATTAAGATGGAATCGATGAGAACGATATCAGGAGGATAGGGAAATAGTCGACAGCGCGGTCAGAATGGTAACATCAAATTGATGAAGTGAAATTGCAAAAAAGTTTTAAATTGCCCAGTGGCGTGCACAGAACTTTTTTTAGAGCAATGGGGGCGGTTTTTCGAAAAAATTTGAAACTTTTGCGGATACTTTTGTGGTCGATCAATTTGATTTTCCGAACTATCGGAAAATATTACAAGGACCTTGTTTTGCCAAAAAAAAATTGCGCCTGATAAAATGTTACTTTGTTGTAGCTAATTCTAAGTTAAAACTATAAAAAGAATATGGAATTAAGATGAATTAGTCGGTAAGTTAAAACATTAAAACAATGAGAGATCATTCTCTCCGCCGGAGAGAATGACCAATGAAGGTCATAATAAAGTGACCAGTTAAATAAACTAATATGTTTTGCAGTAATTGCAAAACATGATGTAAATCACAACATTCCCCTAAGCAGGAAAAATTTTTTAAATTACGAGTAAAATAAGCACCATAACTAACTAAGTCTGACTCCTTTCTCCCCCTTTAGGACTAGGAAAGAAAGAAATTAAGCGCTGTAATAAGGAATTGACATTAACTGGAGCGCCACTAAGTGGTTGAATTCGAAAACTAACTGAGAATTAATTATCCGGATTCCGACGGATATGAGATGAATTTTGAAAAAAAATTGAAGTATGGAGTAGATGTCGTCGAGTTTTGTGTGTGAAGTAATGCTTTTAGATACACCAACTGCCAGATTGCCGTAAGTTTTTCCTTTAAAGACTAGGAAAGAGAGGAAATCAAGCGCCATAAATAAGGAGATGACATTAAACAGAAGCGCCACTATATGATTAAATTCAAAACTAGAATTGTGAATTAATTATCCGGATTCCGACGGATATGAGCTGGGTTTAAAGAATTCGAGATGAAAAAAAAAATTATCACCAAGTTTTATGGGTGGAAATAACTGGTTTGAGTTATACCAACTAAAAGCAGGTCGAATTAGGGAAATTTAGAGCACCAATTTCTTTTGTTTTCCTTTTACTGACGGTTTATCCAAAGGATCGCTTATCCTTTTGGCAGCGTATCCGAAATTACTGAAGAACGTTTTGATCTCTGAGGTTAGCACCGATTATAGGGTAGTATGAGCTCTTTGAAATGACAAGTGACTGGGATATGTATAACAAATTGTTTACAAAGATTTATAATCGTTTAAAAAGTTTTCGAGTTCCTTGTTGAAAAGTTCACTATCTAGATCAGAATGATCCCCAAAATTTTCCAGTTCCATCCTTAGTGATTCGTCCGTTGATGAGGTTGATATTTGGTTCGAAGATGATGAACTTGAGTCAAGAACGATTAGCTCCACCGGAGTCGTCTTATTGTCTGACGTATGTGGTTCTTCAATTTCAATCACGATTGGATCGGTCGCCGAACCGGATGTTTCTTGTATGTTATCTACTGCGTCAATAAAATAACGTTTGCCATAAAATTTTGGTGGGCCTACATTTCTACCAGAACGACGGATGGTAGGGGTAATTTTACCGGATTTAGTAGTAGGATCGGTAAGTACAGTGCACTCGTCGGATGAGTCGTTAATCTCGTAGACTGGGAAGTCTGTAACCGAGTTGTTGTCCGTTGGATTACACTCATCTTGTCCGTTTTGATGCTCCGAATTGTCGTTGTCCCCTCCCTGGGTCACCGTTTTCTGTTCCTCTGTACTAGGTGTTCTGCCGGCGGGTATTATGCTTATTGGACACTCATAAGGTTGTTCTCTAGGTTGTTCGCTGTTAGGGTCGATGTAGTTTTCTAAAACCTCAGATTTTATTTCGGGACGTGTTATAGCGGAATTATGATTATTTTTAATTGAGACATGAGGTGTATTTAGGTCTGAAATAAGGCGTTCCCTGGCTACGTCTCTACAAGGAAAACCGCCCGCTATCCATTCCCATTCGCTAGTGTCCGAAATATCCGAAGGAATTATCATGGATTCATCCGAAGCGAAGTAACCTGGGGGTGTTGTAGACTTCTTTGCGTGATGTGTTTGTCTTCTGGTATGTTTGTGTGAAGACCCTGATACGTATGTCCTAGTTAGGTTGTCTGAAGTGGTCGGGTTCAACTGTCTTGCCGTTCTTCTGGTTGGCTTTCTTGATCTTGGTTTCCGTGATGGTCCTTTCTGTTTCTGACCTACTTCAACATTAGCATTAGGAAAATACGGGAATGAAATGTTTCCTTTAAAAGGTCTGATTTTGTTTGAGGTATAAATCGGAATCGCAATATCGGATTTTCGAATAATTTTTCCGTCGGATAACTTTACAGTCGAAGTAGAAGAATTTATAATTCTTTTATTTAGTTCCTTATAGAAACAGTCTCGATTTATATTGCCGTTGGATTTCCGAAGGATTTTACCTTTGAATGGACTTTTGATTGGTAGTCTATTGGCGATGATTTTCGAGGAAGAAGCATAGTCCGTGTCATAGCCTTTTTCGGTCGGGTTCTGGTTTTTCTTGGCTATCAAGTCGTCCTTGTAGCCGTCCTCTAGTCTGTCATCTGCATTCCAATCCTTAGCTCGTTCCTTAGACAGTATTGATTTCCCTTTGTCTAAAATTCCAAAGGAGGGTTTACCGGATGCTAATTGTTTCCAAATGGTATTTGGTTTTCTGTTATAGTGTATCTCGAAGGGTGAACATTTAATTTTTGATTGATAAGAAGAACGTAAATTCCAGATGATTTTTGAAACGGCATTCTGTAGAGTGCTTTTATCATGTTCTTTTGAAATAGCCAGTAGTTTAATTTTCACGGTGTGTACTAATTTTTCGACCAATCCGTTGGAACGGTGGTCGCCTACTGTACAAAAGATTATTTTGATGTTGTTGGAATCGCAGAATGATTTGAAGTCTTGACAAGTGAAGCAAGTAGCGTGATCTACCCTTATAGAATAAGGTATCCCGTGTAAGAATACGTATTCTTGTAAAAATTCTATGACTGTTTTTGAAGAAGTGGACGATGTAATTTTTGCCGACGGGAATTTAGAAAATCTGTCAATACAGAGTAAAATGTATTTCTTTGACCCCCAGTAAGAATCCAAAGGACCCGCGAAATCTAAATTTAGTTCTTCATTCGGTTCCGATAGTGGAGGAAGTTCACTAATTTGTGACTTAGGAATGACAGTTTTCAAATTCTTACCCGCCGATGTACATTCTGAACAATTTTTTCCGTGGAAGTAGATTTGCCTGTTAATATGAGGCCACCAGATGTATTGAGCCAAGTATTTCATTCCAAATTGACCCGGGTGAGTTTCGTGTAAGGTCTTCATCATTGCGTTTTGTAGAGTAAATGGGATAACAAGTTTACCGTCCATATAAAGTAATCCGTCGGATTCATGCAGGTCTCGGGTAAAATGTTTGAAATACGGAGAATTT